GAAGGCAACCGCAGCGGAGGGGCTAATGTGCGCCGGCAGCGGAAGTGGGTTGGAGTCCGGGACGGAGGACGCGGAGTCTGCTTACGTGGATCCGGACAGAGTGACGGAGGTTATGACGTCATCTCCACCGTGCAGGGTTTGCCGGAGAAGAGCAGCGACGGTGGTGCTTTTGCCGTGTCGGCATCTGAGCCTCTGCCCGGAATGTGATCGGTCAGCTTTGGCCTGCCCGGTTTGTCTCTCGCTGAGGAACTCAAGCGTTGAAGCTGTACTTTGTTGAATGGGCCCAAGTGTAGGCCCATTAGGTTCTTTTCACGGTACATAGAATTTTGTGGAGACCCAAAATAATCGGATAATTACGATTTACGAGTGTTTTTTATTTTATTTTTCCACATTTCATTTGTTGGGTATTTTATAAATTTTTCTCCCATCTCAATTTTGGTATCCCTCTTGAAGTGAAATTACACTAGACGTAAATCATTTTAGAATCTTATATCTATGGGTGATTCTATTTTACTTGGAAATATATTCTTACATTTTATTTTTTTATATTTTTCTGTGATTAGTCGATATTGCCTTTGATATATAAAACAAAACATTGGTTTATTTAATGATATTATCAAGTACGCGAATAAAATTTGACACTTTAAATCAGGGGTGGGGTTTGGGCAAAGAAAACAACACAAGAGAGTACCAAAATTCTAAACTTTCTTTTAGGCTTTAATTTCTAATCAAAACCTACATTTGGGTTAAATATTCAATACAAAGAGATTATAATTTAATTACGTTGGATATAAAAGGACAAAAAAAAGAGAGAAAAAAATCTTAATGCTGTAAGGGAAAGCTGGATTCAGATTTGGATGTCACATGGCCTCATGCCTACCCACCACACTCTTCAATGCATGCTCCACTAAAGTTTAATTTTAATTTTCAAAAAACATTGGGGATATCTAAAAAATGGAATTAGTACAAAATCTCCTATGAATTTAGTTGTCTCTGTGGTTTCTTCTTCTTTTTTCATAAATCATAAATTAATTATTTTTTGAATGTTTATATACTACAATGTTTATGTTATATTATCTGTAAAATAAGACAAATAATAAAAATTGTTAATTAAATTTATGATATTTTTTTTCAAAGGTTGTTGTATTGTATCCATCACTTAAATTTATTAAATCGTCATAATTAATTTATACAATAATCGATTTTCGTATTAATTGTTATGTTAAGAAATACAATAATCGATTTTCGTATTAATTGTGATGTTTTGGAATCTAGGGACGTTAGGTAAAATTTCTGTTTTTTTTTTAATTCAAACTAGGTAATAACCCGCGCGCATCGCGCGGACTAAAAATACGATCATATTTTTTTTAAAAAAATATTATTAATTTTAAAAATAATATATTTTGTTATTGGTTTTATAATTTATATTCTGATTTTTTTTGAAAATTTTAGGATAAAAAAATATTGCAATTTTAAAAAATATTGAGTTTATATTTATATTTTCATGATTTTAATATAAAATCAATGGGTTTTTTCGTTTACATAACTCGCATGCGAGATTAAAAATATCTACATTTTAAATAATATTATTATTAGTTTTGAATTTAAAGATAATATATATATTTTGAATTTATATTTTATATTATTAACCAAATTAGAATTTTTTTCGAAAGTATCGAGTTTATCGGATGATATATTTTTTTGATGATGATATATTTTTTTTATGAGAGAATGTGAACAATTTCGATAAGTTTCTAAAAACACATTTAAAACAAAAATCTAGGAGTGTTAAAAAACTCGAGTCAGTTACCCGACTCAAATTAGGTCATAAAATTGACGGGCCTAAACCTCAAAAATTGAAATCTGACCGTCCATGCAAGCTAAAATGCGATTCAGATAGGGTTGATTCGGTCCACCGACCCGATAAAATTATAATTATATTATATATATATATACATACATAAATATATAAACATATTCATTCTCAAAATCATATATATATATATAATAGAGAATTATAAAAAAATAAAAAACTTTTTTATTTTGATGATTTTTTACTTTTATTTTTATAGTTTATTTTTTGTTTGTTTTTCTTAAAAGAACCCATAGAAACGGATTTCAGCCCAATGTTATAAACCCGCACATGTTTCGGGTCAGACCGATCCAATTCACAATTCTTTGGGTTTGTGTCTGACCCGACCATTATGACACCTCTACAAAAACATAGCGATACCTATGATCCTATGGAACTCTTATCCGACCAAACTCATATTTCACATTACCTCCCCTTAAAATCTTAATAATTTATACAATTTTCGTTGGACTCATTTTAGATTTATAAAAATTAACATAAATATTAATTAAAAAAATATTTATTATATTCTAACGAATGATACTTATGTATTTATTTTCCAAAGTATAATATAATATGCATTATGGAATTGGAATACTACGTTCATTTTTTTTACAGAAAAATGATCCTAAAATGACACTTGTTAGAAAATTCAAAAAACTATAATAAACATATCATATTGATTTCGACAACAACACATTATATCATATTGGATATATCATTTACAAATAAAAATATCATTATATTTTGCATATAAATTCATATGTTCGTTTTCTAAAATCCAAAGTTGTTTTATAATATATTTTGACCATGAAAAATTTGTAATAATTGCATGTGATAAATTTGAGAAGATGATAGTATTTCTTTTTGAAGATAGTTAAAATAATCTTTAAATACAATATTGGTTCATATGAAATATCTTTTTTAGTACGTTGTACCTATAACTAATATGAATTGGAATACTACGTTCATTTTTTTTACAGAAAAATGATCCTAAAATGACACTTGTTAGAAAATTCAAAAAACTATAATAAACATATCATATTGATTTCGACAACAACACATTATATCATATTGGATATATCATTTACAAATAAAAATATCATTATATTTTGCATATAAATTCATATGTTCGTTTTCTAAAATCCAAAGTTGTTTTATAATATATTTTGACCATGAAAAATTTGTAATAATTGCATGTGATAAATTTGAGAAGATGATAGTATTTCTTTTTGAAGATAGTTAAAATAATCTTTAAATACAATATTGGTTCATATGAAATATCTTTTTTAGTACGTTGTACCTATAACTAATATATGAGTTCAGTGATCATATTAGATTGTATTTGGATTTTCGAAAGTTCAAATGTTTGATTTAGGGATAAAAAAAATCGGATCGAAAAATATATGAAAATATATATTCGTCTTGAGTTTGGGCTAAAAAAGAATATATTTTTTAAAATCAAATTAGTTGTGTGAATATAAAGTAAGAATTGGATATAAATAAAAAAAAATTTGATTATTATATATTTCAAATGGATATTCAGTTGTTTATTTTTGTGTATCAAGCGAAATATATTTATATATGACATATGATAAGTAGCGATGGCATATGATAGTGATAGATTGATATATATATTCTTTGTTGAAAACATGCAAGTAAAAAAAGATTGCTATAACAGAGAAATTATATGAGAGTGTGTAAAATCCGATTAACGAATAAACTGGTCGGTTTTACCGAAAGCTTTCTATTTGTGTTTCACATTTTTCAAAATCCAAGAATTATCATTAAATACTCTATTTATTAAATAAACACGAAAACGTTAAAACAAAAAAGTTAATGAAAACATAGAATTTAGCCAGTTTACATTCGGTCGTAAATTTGAAAAGTTATACAAATTTAGGTAGAGAAATCAGTATAGAGAATCGATTAATGATACCGGTTTAAATTTTTATATTTGACCAGTTTCATTGTAATATTCGTTTACTTTACCGGAATGATAAGCAAATGGTCTAATAAAAAATTAGGTTGTAGTCATTCATTTACGCAGAAAATATGTGAGTATTCATTTTTTATTCGACCATATAATTTATATTAACATCTTAATATATTTGTCCATTTTATTTTATTATTTTTGTAGTGGCATATCTTGCATGAGTAACTTTTTTAATTATAACTTTTGTTTATTAAAAAACTACACATAATCAATCTGAAAACATCGATTTAATTTATTTATTTATTTGATACATATTTTGTTTATCCTACATATTATATTCACAATCAGAAAATATAACATTTACACATTATACTAAATATTGATCATAAAAAAAAATACTAAATATGTTCCACTAACCGCAATCCTGTAAAACATGATACTATGTAGATCTATCAAAGCCAAAGATATCAACAACAAAATCAAAGTTTTTTGGTATTTATATTTAAATAAACTATAAATTTGGTTTTTGTAAGATTTCATTTTTATTCTATTATGTAATTTTTTATATTAAAATTTTTTTATATTAAATTAAAATCCAATTTATTTGATAAAATTAATAAAATATAATAATTTTTATTTTAAAAGAGTTCAAATATAATTATATATTACTTGGTTTATTTTGATTAGTTTTTGTTTAATTAAATAGCAAATACATTAAATTTAGGCAATGAACATACAAAAAATATATGGATAGGAATAGAGATTGGTTTGCGTTACATAAATTGTATCAGTAATTATAAAAATAATATGTATTTTTTTTGTGCCTTTTAAATGTAATACGCATGTTTAGAAATTAAAGATTAGTCTTCTAATGTTAGTAAAATCCAGTTTCTCCATTCTAATTCAAGTTATCCATTCTAATTCAAGTTAATATACTTAATACATATAGGCCTTCACAAAATAAAATAATCTTTATGTTACTATAGAGAGAATATGAAAGTTTCATACGTTGAACATGAAAATAATACCAAAATAAATACATTTGTTAAACATTGAATATTTGAATACATGAATAAAATCGATGATCATAAAAAATAAGACATATACATTCTCCCGAAAAATATATTTATATATAAAACAAAATTTAATAGGATTGATTTTAAATTTATAAAAAATCTAAAAATTTGATGGATGAATTACGTATTCTCCCATTATTTTATGAATATCTTTAATGTCTTATATTAATTATTTTGGAATAAGAATGAGTTTATTTTTTTGCAGTAATTATAAATATATTAGCGAATAAATTGGAAAAGAAAATTAATGAATGTATTTAAATAAGAGTGATGACTTGACGTATTCCTCTCATGAATGAAATTGATTACTTAATTTTTAACTTTTGATATTCTCTATAATAGGACACGTGTCATGCCCGTGAGAATAAACTCTACTTTTATATATATAGATAAACCTAGATGAATGTCTATATCATTACAACCATGTTATTTACATTGCAATTTACATGCAACTTTAAAGACTGATTCAAATAAATCTTTATGAATGATTTATATTAAAAGGAATTAAAATAATATACAGACATCGGTGTAAATATTAATTTTTTTTAATAAAAATTCTACCAGCAACCTGATCGCGAAGAAAAGAGGTGAATTGGCTCCGTCGGGGGACGGACAAAGGGTTGACGTGTCAGAACGCCAACGTCCGAGGAAGTGAATGCAGGCAAATCGCGAGTGGGCCCTCAAGGGACCAGTTTGACCAATTAGTGCGAGGTCAATAAATGATTGGGCCTGCGATGTGAAAATGGTTAAGCTTAACGGGCCTTATCTGGGAAATACTTAATGGGCCTGTCCGTGTGTTGTGGAAATACTTAGGCCTGAGAAATGAAAAACTTAAGGAGCCTAAGCTTGGAAATACTTAGTGGGCCTGAGCTGCCGAAATACTTAATGGGCCTTATATGTGGAAAACGTAAATGGGCCTGAGAAAGAAAAACTTGATGGATCTGAGCTGGGAAGCATGAATGGATCTGAATTAATGGGCCTGATCTGAAAATTTTAATGGGCCTAAGGACAACACATATTCGATACGCACGCATGCACGTGCGAATACGGATTGATTAGCTGGCGAAGGATTGAGTTGCATAGCCGTTAGCTGACACGTGCCAACTTGTTAGCCAAGGCAGTCTCGGTCTGCGTACACGTTGTTTGGACCCGGCGAAAACACCCCACCGAAACGACGGCGTTATGAACTTAAGATCAGACGTGGACGGGTGCATGCGTGGTTCGCTGCGCCTCATTACCACCACCAACTGGAAAATCATATTTGACTCTGCGTTTGTCACTTGGTAGGGTATTATTCTCTTTCTCCGTGACAGCCTCTCCATCCATAATATACTAACTAATGCATATTCATATACTAATTTATTTTATCTTTTTATGATTTAAATCTCGTGATTGATTTCTAAATCACTAAAAATCACATTTCAAATATTGGGAGTTTCATATGGCATATTATTGTTTTTTCATATATATATATATGAAAATAGCATAGAAAATGTAAATATGAATGATTTAACATTATTGATATGTTTTGTACTAATACAATAAAAAGAAAAACCTTAGGATTTCATCAACATCCTAATTTTAATTTTATTGTAGAAAACTAGAAATTTAATCTAAAAGAATTAATGATTGTGAAGAGAAATAATTTTTTATTAGTTATATCAAAATAAACGTACGCAATGAAAAATGTTGAAAAAAATAAAAACTTCTAAAATTAAAAACAAGATTGTTACTTATATATATCTCTCTCTGAAAAAAGGAACTGAAATTGAACGAAAATAAAAGATGGTAAAAAGTAGGGATAATCGCATAAAAATACCCGAACTGTTACACTAATCCCAAATAAATACCTGAACTATATAGTTGTCATATAAATACGTAAACTTTTCACAATTTCCACATAAATACCGACTTTTAATTTTTTTTATCAAATCAAACATCCATCCGTTAATAGCATCAATTTCAATCCAAAAAAAGTGATGAGTCAGCAAAAAAAATGATAAGTCAGCATTAAATATTTTATATGCTGATCAATCATCATTAAATATCCAAATATTTTATATGCACTTAGTATTTATTTTTTAAATTGTTATAAAAATCTATACATTTTAAATAAAAAATATATTAAAATATATTTAAAAAGATTTAAATTTAAAACTATAAAAAAATTTAAATTTAAATCTTAATATAAATATAAAACTTAAAAAGATTTAAATTTTAATTTTTTATAATATTTATAAACATTTTAAATATTACAAAGAAATGAATTGATATAGATATTAAATTTAGATATGAAAATATTTATATAGATTATATATCTAAAAATATTTACAATTAGTAAAATGTATTTAATTTTAAATACCCTTTTATAAATTAATTAATTTTTATCCAAATATAAATTATGTATTTTGTTGAAAGTTTATCCATTAAGTAATTTTTTTTATTGCAGATATTAAATAATAGCGTTAAACAATTTTTTGGATATATAAAATTGAAAAGAATTAATTTCAATAAAATATTACTGTATTTTAATTTTATTGTATTTAAATTTATTATTTAAGAAAGATCGAATTTTATTTATAAATTAAACTAAATTTAAATTGGAATAAAAATAAAAATGATTTTAACAAAAATTAAATCACATAAACTTTCAACAAAATTCAAAAATACATAATTTATAATTGGATAAAAATTAATTAATTTATAAAAGGGTATTTAAAATTAAATAAATTTTACTAATTGTAAATATTTTTAGATATAGAATTTATATAAATATTTTCATATTTAAATTTAATATCTATATCAATTCATTTTTTTGTAATATTTTAAATTTTTTATAAATATTAGAAAAAATTAAAATTTAAATCTTTTTAAGTTTTATATGTATATTAAAATTTTAATTTTAATTTTTTTATAGTTTTAAATTTAAATCTTTTTAAATGTATTTTAATATATTTTTATTTAAAATGTATAGATTTTTATAACAATTTAAAAAATAAATACTAAATGCATATAAAATATTTGGATGTTTAATGCTGAGTCATCAATATATAAAATATTTAATGCTGACTCATCACTTTTTTTGCTGACTCATTATTTTTTTGGATTGATATTGACGTGGTTAATGGACGAATGTTTGATTTGGAAAAAAAATTAAAAATCTGGGTATTTATGTGGGAGTTGTGAAAAGTTCACGTATTTATATAACAATTATATAGTTTGAGTATTTATTTGGGAATAGTGTAAAAGTTCGATTATTTTTATGCGATTATCGTAAGTAATTAGCACAGTGGTTTTTGGCTGTCACGAAGTACTCACCAACAGCAGCCGTAACTCCAGCAAAAGGGCAGCGACGGTTAGTGTCACGTGCAGATCATCTGACTCTCACGCAACACGCGGCGAGAATCCAGCTCACTCTCCCGTGAGCTTAACCGCAGGAGATAACTTCCCCCATTCACCTCCGAGTAACTCCCTCTCCATTCCAAAGGCGCCTAGCGTGTTCTTGAGGAAAAATGCTCCTTCGTCGTCTTGAGACTGTCGCACGCTCCTTCGATCGAACTCTGATGATTCCAGAGTTCGCTTTTCTTCAGATTTCTGTTTTTCCGATTTTTGTTTGATTTAAGGGTTTTGTTTCCGTGTTCCTGATCATACAGCATCTGAGATTGTTTGATTTCCGGTTCTCTTAATTTTGTTTGCTCTGAGAATTTTGGTTCCTAGAATCCGAAGATGTTGGAGGATCAGGTCGCGTACTTGTTGCAGAGGTACTTGGGGAACTATGTGAGGGGTTTAAATAAGGAAGCTCTGAAGATCAGTGTCTGGCAAGGTGATATTGTGTTTCTTTTTTTTGTTTTGTTTTTGGATTTGTTCAAAATTGAATTCGAAGTTCAATTTAGGTTTATTCATTAGCGACTGAACTGGAAGACAACGGTATATTGTGAAGGAATGTTGAATTCGTCGGAGCTTTGTTTGGTTGCCATGTTGTTGGAAGAGCATTACTTAGCCTATTGGAAGAATTTCGTTCAGACGTTAGTTTTCTTGAATTGGGTTTTGTTCGAGTTCGCTCACTCGTTAGGAGTCGTTAGCGACAGAAATGACACTCAGTATGTATGGACCTGGAAAACTACTTGGATCCGGTGACAGCTTTAGAACTCGACTTATTATTAAACATTCTGTTCCATTGTGCTTTTGCTGCGACTGTTGGGTGCTTAGTTGGTCTGAACTCTTGAAGTTTTTCGCGTGAATAAATGCTTCAAATGTTTTAGGAATTTGTGTTCATTTGCATGTGTTATGGGCTCGTTTGTTCTTATTTTGTTATGGGTGTTAGCTGATTGTTGACCTCATGTTCGCTTTTGGGCATGCCGAGTTTTTTTCTCACCATTTCTTTTGAAAAGCTTGATTGACATTGTGACTAATTTCAGCGACAAAGCTTGTGATGTCATATGATTGAATAATAGCCATACATAAAACACTTTCGAGTTTGTCATCTGTTGATACATCTCTGGTTTTGCTCAATTTCACAGGAAATGTAGAGCTGACTAATATGCAGCTGAAGCCAGAAGCACTCAATGCTTTGAAATTGCCTGTGAGGGTTAAAGCTGGATTTCTTGGATCAGTGAAACTCAAAGTATGTTGTAGGTTCCTCTATAATGATAATACAAATAATAACAGTAATAGTAGCTATTATTATTTTGTGGAAGTAAAATTCATCAGCTTGAGTACATTAGCTATTTTAACTATGTTTACATAATTCACCAAAATGAGTACTTCCCTCATTGTCACATTGCCTGTATCAACCTTCTTATGCAATCCCACATATCTTTGTATTTTCTGCCTGATTTTTTGTGTGGACTTCTCTTTACGAAACACAGATCTTAGAGTTAGGTAGACCCATATTTTGATTTTTTTTTTCAAAATCACCCTCCTAGGTCCCATGGAGCAGGCTTGGACAGGAACCTGTAGTTGTTTATCTTGACCGTATATTTCTGTTAGCTGAACCTGCAACTAGTGTTGAAGGATGTAGTGAGGATGCTATTCAGGAGGCGAAAAGAAATCGAATACGGGTTAGTAGTATTCTGATTTAAGAATGGTATTCTGTATCTGATTTTCTATCTGAACACAGTGAACTTCTGTTACCTTGTTTGTTTATTTGTGTTGATCAGGAAATGGAGATGAGGTTACTAGAAAGAGCTCGTCGATTAAAAACAGAAATGGTGTGGCCAGTGCACTATTGTAGTAAATAAATTTGGGAAGTAATATTTTGGACTAAGCTAACGCCTATTTTCTCTTCTTCTCTTCAAAGAATAAATCATGGTTGGGTTCTTTGATCAACACAATAATCGGAAACTTGAAGCTTTCAATATCAAATATTCACATCAGATATGAAGATCTAGAGAGGTAAATAGATTATAACATGGACTTGATTATTTTCTTGTTCATCCATGGCATGTTTAAACAACTTAGATTATAAGTGCAGCAACCCTGGCCACCCGTTCTCAGCTGGTGTTACTCTAGAGAAACTCTCAGCCGTAACAGTTGATGAGAGTGGGAAGGAGACTTTTATTACTGGTGGATCTCTGGATTCCATCCATAAGGTATGGAACTGTCCATCAATCTTAAATAGGCAAAAACAGGCTTTTCAGGGTCTACGAATTGCATGGGGTTGTAGAACTCCCTCCATATATGGTCTCTTTAATCAGGTTATTGCTAGATTTGTTTAAAGATTCTCGAATTTTTGTTCATCACAGCAAAGTTAACATGGTGAATTAGTTAGTGTGATATAAGCCTCTTTCGACTGGGATGATGACATGCTTGCAGATCCCTGAGTAAAATGTCTTGATTGACTGCATAAGAAAAGGAGCGCTTAGGCCCAGACATGTACTTTGTTTTCTCCTGTAATCACGATTTTCTGTTGCTATTTTTGCAGTCCGTTGAACTTGATCGGCTTGCATTCTATCTTGATTCTGATATGTCACCATGGCATATTGACAAACCATGGGAGGATTTGCTTCCTTCCGAGTGGGCACAGGTATTGACTTGCAATACTGTGTATTCATTTTTAATTATATTCAAAAATATTTCTGTGCATCCTCATCCTGGATTTAACTACTTGCGCATGCTAATCTTCAGATATTCAAATATGGAACCAAGGACAGTAAACCAGCTGACCGTCTCACGAGAAAGCATTTCTATATTCTGCAACCTGTAACAGGGAATGCGAAGTACTCGAAGTTGCAAACGAATGAACATTCCAACCCTGGACTGCCTTTGCAGAAGGCATCTGTAAACTTAGATGATGTGACACTCTGTTTATCAAAGGTTTAACGTGGTTGTTTAATTCCACTATTCTTTGTTATATTTGGCTCTCCCAATGCTCTTGATTCAATTTAGTCCCCTTTGTCCTCAGGGTGGATACAGGGATGTCATGAAGTTAGCTGATAATTTTGCTGCGTTTAATCAGCGCTTGAAGTATGCACATTACAGGCCACGCGTTCCAGTGAAATCTGACCCAAGATCATGGTGGAAATATGCATACAGAGTTATTTCGGAACAATTTAAGAAAGCAAGGTTCTTAAGGATAGAACTTTGTTATCCTCTTTATCATTGCCTTTTCAACGATGCTAGCTTTCGGTGTAGTTCGCATTGATTTGTGAAGACCACCGTCAGCAATCTGTCATCTCCTTTTCTCAGATTCCGTTTACAGTTTCTGAAATCGTTACTTTTGTGATAGTGGGAGAATGTCATGGGAGCATGTTCTGAAGTATGCTAGTCTACGGAGGAGATATATAACCCTTTATGCTTCACTGCTGAAATCTGATATCAGTAGATCAGTGGTAGATGACAATGAAGAAATTGAGGCCCTTGACCGGCAACTTGATATCGAAGTGATTTTGCAATGGAGGTAAGCTAATCTGTTGCTAATGTAAATGTTTCTTCTCCGCATAAACTACTTTTCTTTTAAGAACCACCGACTTTGTTTCCTTGGCAGATAATATCTTGTGGAAGCTTTTTTTTTCATGTGGGTTTATTAAGTATCATATCTAATGTTTCTATCTTCTTCCTTCCCTCTGTCTTCTCTGTGGAGCTTTCTTTGTTTCCCCTCCAGCCGTTATAACTGTCAAAATTTGGCAAGATTTGTGATTTTTTGTGTGCGCAAATTTCCTCATTTTTTTATAAATTTGCAACCTCCTTGAGATTGTGTTTATTTTTCTTGGTTTTCTATGCAGGATGTTAGCTCACAAGTTTGTCGAACGTTCAATAGAAACTGAAAATTATTTGAAGGCGCAAAAGGCTCAAACTTCATGGTGGCCATTTGGAGGGTAAATGCTCATCTGGATGCTTCTACAAATTCCTAAATTATAGTTCATTCTTGTATTGACATCTGTTCATGTGTGCTTATCGTCAGAAAGAGTCAAGTGTCTGAAGATGAAGGAGAATCAGTTCATTTCAGCGATGAAGACTGGGAACGATTAAATAAAGTCTTAGGGTACAAAGAAGGCGATGATGAACAATCTGTTATCACGAATGTGAAACCTGATGCTCTTCATACTTTCTTGGAGGTACACATGAAGCGTAATGCTTCCAAACTTTACAATGGAGAGAAGGAATGCCTTGCTGAATTATCATGTGAAGGCCTTGATTGCTCCATTAAGCTTTTCCCAGAGACAAAGATCGCTGACATTAAATTGGGAAGATATCGGTTGTCATCACCCAGTGGTCTGCTTGCTGAGGTGGGTTTACCTGAACTTCGGTTTCTTGGTCGCAGAACATTGTCAGTGACTCAGTGGTATCTTAAAACTATACGTTAAATTGTTTTCTCCTTGCAGAGTGCCCCTGCCATTCATTCTTTACTTGCTGTCTTCTGCTATAAGCCTTTTGATGCCAAAGTTGACTGGAGTTTTGTGGCGAAAGCTTCTCCCTGTTATATGACTGTGCGTGGCTACTCTCTGCTGCAATTTCGAGTTGACATTCTTTTTCCTTATGTTAGTAGTTGATTGTGTTTCCATATGCAGTATCTAAAAGATTCCATCGATGGAATTGTCAACTTCTTTGGAAGCAGCACTGCTGTGAGCCAGACAGTAGCTTTGGAGACTGCAGTTGCTGTGCAGGTTCGTACTTAATGTGCCATAGTTTGGGAGTTTTTAAAAGGAGAATATGCTGCCAACAGTCTGTTAAAGAGCTGTGATAATATTGTGGTTACTGCATATAACTGAACACGGTTAGAAACTATGGGAGCAATTTCAGTTAGTTCTTGCTACTGTCAGATGCTTCATGGTTTGTTTGTGTATGATAAATAGAATATATACAAGTGCATGCAACTGTTGTCTTCTTTGCATTGATGTTCATAACGTCATCTCCCTTCCACTTGTGTTTCAACTCTATCTGACAGTATGTTCGATCACCACTGTTTTCAAGCTTTTGAACCATTCTTGCCATGGACCGCATATTGCATCAGATCATTTCAATTATACTAATTGCATGTTTAACTTGTTATGTTAGTCGACTATTGATGAAGTCCGACGCACGGCTCAACAAGGAATGAGTAGAGCATTAAAAGATCATGCAAGGTTTGTTCGTATACTAATATATGGTACGTGGTCGAGGTTTTTTGGCGTGTGTGTATATGGATTGACCCTTGTCCAAAACAATTAGATTTCTGCTGGACTTGGATATCGCTGCACCAAAAATCACAATTCCCACAGAATTTCGTCCTGACAGCTCTCATTCGACAAAGCTTCTTATAGACCTGGGTAATCTGGTCATCCGTTCACAGGTAAACAACAAAAGGTTAATTCTCTTATTTTCTTTCTTTCATCTTTTCTAATTATACATCCTGTTGTTCCAATGGGTGCAAATTTTGTAGGACGATCATAAGCATGGGTTGTCAGAGGAACTGGATATGTATCTGCAATTTGATTTAGTTTTAAGTGATGTGTCTGCTTTGCTTGTCGATGGTGATTACTCCTGGAAACAACTATCTTCCAAGAGCGCCTCCGGCTCTGGCAGCGAAGGCAGTGTTTCAGTTTTGCCCGTCATTGATAAGTGCGGGGTAATCTTACAGTTTCAACAGGTACAATTCTAGACATCTTGCTTTTACTATTTTGGTAAGCAGATTTATGCTTTTATATCTCATATTGTAGTTTCATAGCACTATTCTGCTGATGCATTTTATCTGGCATAGATTCGTACACCTAATCCATCCTACCCGACAACTAGACTAGCTGTGCGGCTACCATCGATAGGCTTCCACTTCTCCCCAGCTCGATACCATAGGTTGATGCAAGTTGCACAGATATTTCAAAATAAGGATGATGAGAGCTCTCACGTTTTCCGTCCTTGGGAAGAAGCTGATTTTGAGGGTTGGTTGTCTCTTCTTAGTTGGAAGGTTGATATCTTTCTCCCCTGCATACTTGAAACGATGTCATAGTCCCCAATTCTTTTTCTTTCCACTTATTACTCATCAATTTCATGAATAGGGCAGGGAAGCTGTATGGCAGCTGCGGTACTCATACCTAGTTGGCCCTTTCATCTATGTGCTTGAAAGTCCTGGCTCAAAATCTTATAAGCACTATTACAGGTCTGATTCTAACTGTGTTAATTTGGTTATGGCAGTAGGCTTAGTGGATTAATAATTGGAATATGCAAATGCTACCATAAAGATATATTATCACAGAAATGGGTCTGGGCCATAATGATCGACATATTGACAAACTCAATATACATATATGTTTTACGTGTTATATATCTCTGGAGTACTATAATCTGATATCTTCAAATATATATACTAGAAACTACGTTCAGTAGCTGTGATATGACCAAATTTTGTGCTTATCGCTTTATGTTGTGCGAGCTGTTTGAAAACCAAATCAAGATTCTATATGAATAATCTGTCCCTGCTCTGTTATGCTCTGTATTCTAATTGCTATTGAACAGATATGAAACAAGGTTGATGAGATGAATTTGCAATTTGTTGCCGTATCATATTTGCCCGAAGTATTTAGCTCTCATTCTTTCGTTAATAAGCTACAGAAAGAAATTCAAGCATACTGGTCCCTGCTCATTTTTCATATCACTGACGCTGGAACTCATGACCCATAGTTGTCTGCTATTTTGCCAAGTAGTTGAAAGTTTCTATTGTTTTGTGCATTCACATGACAGCATCTGTTTGTTTCTAATTGGTGGTTGTGCAATCCCGCCACTTCTTGTCATTTAATGGTTTTTATCCTCTGTAGTCTACGCGGGAAGCATATATACCAAGTTCCCGCAGAGCTGGCAGGGGGAGCAGAGAATGTCTTGGCCATTCGCAGTGCTTCTCGTATCGATGACAAGGTTCTAAACTTATTTTTCCCAAACTTTTATCATATAGAAATAGTTTGCTCCTGCCTTTGTGTGATATGGTTGTAATTTCGTGTTTTTGTACTTTTCTGTAGGTAATGGAGGATGTTAATGCTGTGATATTAATGTTTGATTCTGAAGACTCCAGAAACACATGGCATCGTCGCTTGCAGGGAGCTGTCTATCGTGCCTCGGTAAAATTTATTTTCTCGTACACAAGAATTTTTGTCCCGTTGTGATTTTCCTTATTGGACATGATTCTTCCATGAGACAGTCGAGCAAGATATTACTTATTTAGTGATAATATATTTGTTTACTTAAATTTTCAGGGTTCTGCTCCCATAGCTGGTCTTTCTGATACTTCATCAGACAGCGAGGAATCAGAAACAGACCAGAATGAAAACCAACGTGTGTTTGATTTATCCAAGGTGGAGAGTGTGTTTGTTACAGGTGTGCTTGATGAACTCAAAATCGCTTTCAGTTATGGTCACCAGGTAAATGCAAACTTCTTTGGCGGTATGAAATTTCATTGCTAGTCGAGGTCGAGCATACTTTGACTTATCTTTATTTTCCAGAATGATCTTTCTTTCGTGGCGGTGCTTCTTGCTAAAGAGCGTAAACTGTTTGAATTTAGGGCCATTGGTGGCAAGGTAAGATTTCCGTACTTCCCTTTGATTACATTTCTTGATTCCCTTTCCTGAATCTGCCTTTTCCAAAGCAGGTTGAACTTTCGATGAGAGGGAGCGATATGTTCATTGGGACTGTGCTAAAATCCTTGGAGATAGAAGATTTGGTGCGCCAAACTGGATTAAGTGAGCCTTGTTATGTGGCAAGATCATTTATTCAGTCGTCAGACATACTTCCATCATCTGGAGATGTGAAGAGTCCGAATCTTGAAGGCAGTGATCTTACTTCTAGTGAAGGAGAGGAGAAATTTTATGAAGCACCTGAAACTTTGGCTGACTCCTTCGATTATACATCTCTTAGGATTCCTAGTTTTAGTCGCATTGAAGGATTGCTTCCTGTTGACAGCAAGGTCACGGGGCTAAGCCCTGAGACAAGCGAGTCGCTTGACAGTTTTGTGAAGGCTCAAATTGTGATATACCATCAGAGCTCTCCTCAATATGAAAACATCGATAACCAGGTCTGTACTTTTCTGCTTTTCCATTTTCCAATTTGGAAGACATCATTTGGTTGACGTTGATATTAATGTTTCAGGTTACAGTTACCTTGGCCACACTGTCATTCTTCTGTCGGAGGCCGACGATTCTTGCTATATTGGAGTTTGTAAATGCTATCAATGTCGAGGATCCAAGTTGTGAATCTTTTGATGACAATTCTCCAGTAGCTGGAGGGCATGGTACACCGACAATAGACGGATTTGAAGATTCTGATCTCATGGAAACTAAGGACGCGGCTCTTAAGGGTCTACTGGGAAAAGGGAAATCAAGAATCATTTTCAACTTGTCGTTAAACATGGCTAGGACTCAAATTTTCTTGATGAATGAGAATGGAACAAAGCTTGCTACATTGTCACAGGATAATCTGCTTACAGATATTAAGGTGCGTGATTATATTCTCGTTCATTTCATGCTGCACTTTGTTTACTGATTCGGTTTACTTTCTATAGTATTTTGGTTTTTCACCAAGTAATTAGTTTTTTTTTTGTACTTTAACTACCGTCGGTTTAAAGGTCTTCCCACGCTCGTTTAGTATTGAAGCGGCTCTTGGAAATTTACGAATAAGTGATGATGGCCTGCCAAACAACCATATGTACTTTTGGATCTGTGATATGAGAGACCCAAGGGGAACTTCTTTTGTTGAGGTACTTTGTTTTTTCTCCCCTTCTAAAATTCTCTGGAAGTGGAAATACTTTCTATGGTTCTTGCAAGCTTGTTTGGTTTTTCAGATGCACCACGAGTGCCTTTCTTGGGGAAGACTTTTATGTTAAATTTCTCTGTTGCTTTGTTCTTCAGGTTTAAAGAATTTTAGATTACTTGCAGTTGCTATATTGACAGTTCATTTTGTGAAAGAATCATTAATCTGAATGGATGCATGTCATGTCTTCTGAAGAAAAAGGGGAGGGGGGTGTAAAAGGAATCGTATAGATGAACTATATCGTGTTTTCTTCTTACGTTTGATTTTTGTGTAGTTGGCTTTCACATCATTCAGTGTTGACGATGAAGATTATGAAGGTTATGACTATTGCCTTGCGGGACAGTTATCTGAAGTCCGCATTGTATATCTGAATCGATTTATCCAGGAGGTAATCTGAGCTCCTGTCTTCATGCAAGTATCTTTTATCATGCTGTTTATGGTCCACTGTGCTATGCAGGTTGTTGAATACTTCATGGGGCTTGCGCCCAGCAATTCAACAGGTGTTGTCAAGATAAAAGATCAAGTAACAAACTCAGAGAAGTGGTTCACAACTAGCGAAATTGAAGGATCGCCTGCTGTGAAGTTGGATCTATCGTTGAAGAAACCTATCATTGTTATGCCTCGGTGTACAGATAGCCCTGAGTAAGTTATGACTAGGAATTTTGTGCTCATCCCTCCCTTTTTCTTTCCTTCTCTACATGTATATATATTTTAGCATAACAATTTCAGGGCCTAAAGAATTCTCTAGATTTGTCACAGAGGCTGATCTTCATTTGTTTGGACCTTTTTTACAGTTACCTGAAGCTTGATGTTGTGCATATAACTGTGAACAATACCTTTCAGTGGTTTGGTGGAGATAAAAGCGAGTTGAATGCAGTTCATGTGGAAACTATGACAATAATGGTGGGACCTCTAATCGTTTAGTTTTCGGGTTGAACATATTTCATTCTGGTTAATTCACCAGTTTAATGAGATATGTAATTGATTGATCTTTTTGGGCAAATTTTACGTCTAGTTTTGTATTCCTTTGACTTTCTTCTCCGAAAACACCTTATCTTAGGTCACGGATATCAACCTGAACGTTGCTTTTGGAGCTGAAATAGGTGAAAACATAATTCAAAATGTCAAGGGGGTTTCTGTAACCATCCAGAGGTCTCTGCGAGATTTGTTGCATCAGATACCAAGTATTGAATCTTCCATTAAGGTAATGGATAATTCTTATCTCGCAAATATCAGGTTAGTGGCATGAAGGCATGTTAATTCATTCCAATGTAAATTTTATGCTTCATCAGGTTGAGGAACTTAAGGCAGCCCTCTCGAATAGGGAATACCAAATCTTGACGGAATGTGCACAATCTAATATTTCTGAGACTCCACATATTGTGCCGCCATTGAGTGGTGAAATTGTGCCATCTTCGACCAGCTCAAGGGATAATTTTATTCCCAAGGTTTCTGATGCTGCTCAAACAGAAAAAAGTGAAGCTTGGATATCAATGAAGGTTACCGTCGACATCAATCTGGTTGAGTTGTGTTTGTTTACTGGGACTGCAAGAGATGCGTCTCTGGCTGTTGTACAGGTGAGCTTCCATGTCAGATCCGCTCCTTTGTCTTTAATTTTTAGGGCTTCCAAATTAAACCATTTGTTAGAAATCATGTCTCAAAGGGTTGTCACAGTAAAAAACTTCATGGCATGTTGACTGTGAAATGTTATTACCATGTAATGATTTCTGAGTTTTTGGCTCACAGATCAGTGGTGGATGGCTTCTGTACAAGTCCAATACTAAGGGTGAAGGTTTCCTTACAGCAACGTTGAAGGGATTTGGTGTTATTGATGATCGTGAAGGAACTGAAAAAGAATTCAGGCTTACTGTTGGAAGACCTGGATTTATAGATTTTGGCGATTCACGTTTTCCAACTGATGGGGGTCAGAGGTTGGCTGAGTCACGTATAATCAAGGGGGGTGATAATAGGCCATTTCCTTCGATGCTTATACTTGATGCTCAATTTGGTCAGTTGTCAACTTCTGTGTCCATCTGTATTCAGAGGCCACAGCTGCTTGTTGCTTTGGATTTTCTACTAGCTGTAGTTGAGTTTTTTGTTCCAACAATGGGTGGTGCACTTTCAAGTGAAGACGAAAATAATCCCTATGTGCTAGATGCAATTATCATGGATCAGCCCATTTACGAGCAACAAACTGCTGAAATCTCCTTTTCTCCTCAGAGTCCTTTGATCGTTGAAGATGAAAGATATGATCATTTTGTTTATGATGGTAATGGAGGAACATTATTCCTGAAAGATAGACATGGAAGTATCCTTTCTTCAATTGGCCCAGAGCCTGTTATATACATTGGGAGTGGGAAAAGATTGCAATTCAGGAATGTTGTCATTAAGGTATGAAAGGTTTTGCATTATCTATTTTCTGCCCATACTAAACCTGTAAAACTGTGATGGTTGATCAGGAATCTTAGTCTGAAAGGTTTTGCATTATCTATTTTTTGCCCATGCTAGACCTGAAAAAAATGTGTGTGTATATCAGGAATCTTAGTCTTTCTGTTTTGTTTCTTCGTGCTGGTCCAGAACGGCCAAGTTTTGGATTCTTGTATCTCATTGGGAGTCAACAGCAGTTATTCTGCTTCAAGGGAGGATGGAGTTAAATTGGAAACATATAATGAAACCCCACAGCTAGACCATGAAAGGAAGAAAGACTCTGTTTCTCAATCTCCTAACTCCGCAGCTGAGAGGTCCTCGGAGTTGATAATTGAATTTCAGGTTCTTGTACTGGCTATCTTTCATATACTTTCTTATGGTGTTAAAAGACTTCGCCATTTCACGTTTCTATCTCTGAATCTGATATTCTGTTTTGCAGGCCATTGGCCCAGAACTAACTTTCTACAACACATCAAAAGATGTAGTTAAATCACCAGTCCTCTCTAACAAGCTTTTGCATGCTCAGTTAGATGCCTTTGGCAGGTCAGTGGATTCTTCTTCTTCTTCTTTTGTCATAAGTCTTCTTGTAGCTGAACACTTTAAGTAAGTTACTCATATTTTGGTGAAATCTCGTACTGTTGTTCACAATTTCAAACCCTTTTTTTTACCTGATGCAGGGTTGTTCTGAAAAACGATGAAATAGAAATGTGTGCTAACACGTTTGGCCTGACAATGGAGAGCAACGGAGTGAAAATTTTGGAGCCTTTTGACACCTCAGTAAAGTATTCGAGTGCTTCTGGGAGGACCAACTTACATCTTTCAGTTTCAGACATATTCATGAACTTTTCCTTCAGCATCTTGAGATTGTTTTTAGCTGTTGAAGAAGACATTATATCATTTCTAAGGATGACATCCAGAAAAATGACTGTTGTCTGCTCAGAGTTTGATAAAGTTGGAAATATGAGAAGTATGTCATGACACTTATTTTATTTACTTTTAGGGAAGTTTATTTGATCTTTGTCACACGTTACTTATTACTTCATTGTCTGCAGATCCATGCACAGATCAGATATATGCAATATGGAGACCCCATCCACCACCTGGTTTTACTAGCCTCGGCGACTATTTGACACCATTGTTAGTCAAGAATCTCAAATGGTCTATTTTCTAGCTGTCATAATAGTTTTTTTTCTTGTCGATTAATTGGTTTTTTCCCTGATAGGGACAAACCGCCAACTAAAGGGGTTCATGTTGTCAATACCAATTTGGTGAGAGTGAAGAGACCCGTATCTTTCAAATTAGTTTGGCCACCTTTAGGTTCCGAGAACATAGCTGACTCTTCACCAAATGACGGAGATGGAACAAGCTCTTGTTCCATATGGTTTCCTGAAGCACCAAAGGGTTTTGTGGCGTTAGGTTGTGTGGTGTCAGCTGGAAGCACACCGCCGCCACTGTCTTCTGCCTTCTGCATCCTGGCTTCTTCCGTTTCCCCTTGCTCTCTCAGAGACTGTATAGCTATCAGCTCCACAGATATGTATGCTGAGTTTTTGACTTGTCACTTTTTTGACTACCACCTTACTCACTTCTCATATACATGCACTCAGTGGATGCACGGATGGGAACACATGTCCCATATGCATATCTGCTCCTGCATGGATATCTGTGTTTTCCAATATGTAGCATGTGTACATATATATAAATTCATGTGTCTTTGAGCATTACAACTTGAGTTTACCCCCTCTGTATCAATGTTTTGATATATAGTCCACATAATTCACTCAAATGTAAACTCAAATTTAGAATTCTAGGTATCCTAGTTGTGAACACAAGTCGTTGGCAGGATTTCTTTGATGTAGTTGTGGACGATTACTTGCTAATTAAATTTTCAGATTTCGTCAATGTATGCCTACTGGTTTAGTTCTTCTGTTTGCTTTATTCTATTTCATTGATGCAGTTGAACTTTTTTGTTAATTGTTCCAATGCAGATCGGCATCAAGTCTGGCATTTTGGCGTGTGGATAACTCTGTTGGCAGTTTCTTGCCTGCCGATCCCACTACTTTTAGCTTATTGGGCAGACCATATGAGCTGCGTCATATATTGTTTGGATCTCCTGGTGTCTTGCCAAAAGGTTCTGGATACTCGGATTTTCGTGCTTCTCCTGATAATGTTCAGTCCACACCGCCTCAAGCATTGAGTGCTATTAATTCCGGGCAGCAGTTTGAAGCTGTTGCCACCTTTCAATTAGTATGGTGGAATAGAAGCACAGGCTCAAGGAAGAAAGTATCTATATGGCGGCCAATAATTTCTGAAGGGATTGTTTATTTTGGAGATATAGCTGTTAGCGGGTATGTCACTCTTCCAGTGCATGTCTGTCTAGCTGCAAGGTGTAGATTCACTACTTTCATTAATTTATTTGTTTTTGGGTGGACTTGTAGGTATGAACCTCCAAACTCTTGTGTGGTTCTTCATGATATTGGTGAGCAAGAATTCCTCACAGCCCCCGTCGATTTCCAACTCGTTGGACGTGTCAAGAAACAGAGAGGAGTAGAAAGTATATCTTTCTGGATGCCTCAAGCTCCACCTGGCTTTGTTTCCTTGGGTTGTATCGCATGTAAAGGTTCACCAAAGCAATATGATTTCAGCAAATTAAGATGTGTTCGCAGTGATATGGTTGCTGGTGATCAATTTGCAGAAGATAGTTTGTGGGACACTTCTGAGGTCTGGCAGAGGATAGAACCATTTAGTATCTGGAGCATAGGCAATGAGTTGAAGACCTTTATTGTCCGCAATGGCTTCAAAAGACCGCCAAGAAGGTTCGCATTAAAGCTCGCGGATCAGGATTTGCCAGGTGAATCAGATGACATGGTTATTCAAGCAGAAATTCGGACTTTTTCTGCTTCACTTTTCGATGACTATGGGGGACTGGTGAGAAGCTCTTAACAAATTTTTGCTATATTTATATGCGAGGCAATGATAGCCTGAGGTTACCGAAATGATATTGGTTTGAAAGTTGACTAGTTTTATGTATTTTGCAGATGGTTCCACTGGTTAACTTATCGCTCAGTGATATAGGATTCGGATTGCTGGGCAAAGCTAACAATACAAAGTCAACTGTCAACTTCTCTTTAGCTGTCAGATCATATAACGATAAGTTTGAAGCATGGGAGCCTCTCATTGAGCCCACACATGGATTTTTAAGGTTTGCATTCATGTTTAGTTGTTATTAATGGTGCAGACATGGTGACTTACCTATGGGCCCCTTCCTGTGGTTTGCTACTTTACTCTTATTTGATTTGTCCAATGAGTCTGACTACATAATGGCTTTTCTCCATTGGCTTGCAGGTATCAGTTCAACCCTAAATCCCTTGGTGCGGTTTCTCAGTTACGCTTGACATCTACAAAGGATCTCAATGTGAATGTCTCAGTTTCAAATGCTAATACAATTATCCAGGCGTATTCTAGTTGGAGCAACCTTAGCAATGTCCATGAACACCATAAAGAAAGAGTAAGAACTTTTCCTTTAGAATCGTTTCTGTTCCTGTTGCCTTGTTGGAGCTGGTTTATTTATTCGTAGTTTTCAACAGACTAAATGATATTCAAATTATTTCTTCAATGGTTCTCCATTTGGTACTTAATACAGGAGCTATATCCTCCAACTAACAATGGAAGATCTATCAGTGAGGTTCATCAGAAGAGAAACTATTTCATTATCCCCCAAAATAAGCTTGGGCAAGACATATACATCAGAGCCACCGAAATTAAAGGATTTAAAGATATAGTCAGGATGCCATCAGGAGACATGAAACCTGTTAAAGTCCCTGTCTTAACCAATATGTTGGATTCTCACATGAGAGGAGAACTCTGCAGGAACCCTAGAACAATTGTTACAGTTATTGTGATGGATGCACAGGTAAATGACCTTTGTGACAATGCTTTGATGCTTTTTTTTAAGTCTTGCATAGAGATCTTGTTCTTTCTCAATTTTTGTTTCCTTTCATTTCTACTTTCTAAGACATTTAGGGCAGGAAAGGATACTGTTTGATACAATGTTTTCCCAGTTTCATTTCTTCAATGTGACTTGTCATATCCGTAGCAGTCAAATAATTCTCTGTTTATGTTTTTACTGAGAAATTAGTTGTTTGATTTACATAAATCAAGGTGTCATGTGAAGTATCTTCATTATTGTTTCTTTACATTTGTGTACTTTAATCTTGATGCAGCTTCCAGGAATTGTTGGGTTATCTTCTCACCAATACACTGCAGTTATCCGTCTTACTTGCAATCGGAGTTCTCCTGTTGAATCAGTGCTCCGACAGCAAAGTGCGCGTACATGTGGAAGCATCTCGAGTTTGTTTTCATCTGAGCTTGAGCTGGTTAACTGGAATGAGATCTTTTTCTTCAAAATTGATTCTGCGGTATGCTTTCTCTTCCATTGTATCTACTATCTACCATCAGCTTGTCGAATTAATGTTTTTTGTATAACAAATCGAATAACTGGGTCTTTTATTTTCCTTTCAAGTCCTCATTTTTATGTTCTCTGTGGTCCACCATATGTATTGCCGTTCTACTTGCATTCCTATATTCTTATCTCATAATGTATATATCTCATGTAGAAATTCTAGAATAGCAGAAAATAGTTTAGTGTAGAGTCATATAGATTTGTAAATCATAGGTTCTAAGTCAGGTTTGGCGCATGTATGCATCTTGTACAACTTTTTTGGGGGCCATTTGATATGTATTATGCTACTGGATCTCTCTGTAATTTCTGCTCTTTTATTTTAGAGCTGTGACTTTTGGTTTTCTAAATTCACAGTTGCTGTGAGTATAATATTTTAGTATTCTCTGGGTTTGCAGGATGACTATGTCTTGGAATTAATGGTGACTGATGTAGGAAAAGGTTCGTTACTGTTATTTTGGCTTACGTATCATGTGCTGATATATCTCTACAATCAAGCATTATCTTCTGGTAATATAATTTGCTGCTTTCCCCCTTTTTGCAGGTGCATCCATTGGATCTTTTTCGGTTCCTCTAAATCAGATAGCTGGATACATTAATGACAACCTAGACCAGCACAACTATGTCGATGACCTTGTTTGGATAGAGTTGTTTTCAACTGAAACCATGGTAGAAACTCCTGTCTTTAATCTTGACATCCTTTTTATATATCTTATGGGCTAGAATGATGAGATGTTTAATATTAGTGGTATATACAGTAAAGAATTTTGAGTCTTTCTTGGGTTGCAGATCATGGGAGGCAAATGCTAGTCATTTCTTTATTGCTGATGAGTTGTTTTTCTGCAGGGTGCGAACCAAGTGGAACCGGGAAAGAAATGCGGAAGAATAAGATGTGCCATATTGTTGCCAGCGAAATCAAAGGCGGGGGACCCAGGTAAATTCTCCAGCGTAAGAAAGTCTGGGTTTATTCAAATAAGTCCTAGCATAGAAGGTCCTTGGACGACAGTGAGGTTGAATTACGCTGCACCCGCTGCCTGCTGGCGATTGGGAAATGATGTGGTTGCAAGTGAAGTTAGTATGCAAGATGGCAACAGATATGTGAATGTCAGATCTCTAGTTTCAGTGTGTAACAGCACCGATTTCCTGCTAGATTTATGCCTTCAGCCAACAGTTGGAAGCATAATTCAAGATCTACCTATTGGACCGCTCAAACCTGGTGATACTTTACCGGTTCCTCTATCAGGCTTGACACAATCTGCTTCATATGTTTTGAAACTGAAGTGCATGATGCTTGATGGATCTGATGAATACTCTTGGAGTTCTGTGGTGTCCGGGCCTGCTGAAGCAGAGGCTCCTTCTGAACCAGGGTCAGAAATATGTATATCGGCTCTTACAGAATCTGAGCACTTGCTTTGTTGTAGTCAGATAAGCAGTACTTCTTCTGGAGGTCCGCAAAAGTTGTGGTTCTGTTTGAATGTACAAGCAACAGAAATTGCAAAGGATATACGCTCTGATCCTATTCAAGATTGGACCATTATAATCAGAGCACCATTGTCTATAGCAAATTGTCTTCCTTTTGGAGCTGAGTGCTCGGTGCTAGAGATGCAACCAAGTGGTCATTTTGTTGGCCGCCACAGAGGAGTCTTTGGTTCTGGAGATACTGTGAAGGTGTATAGCGCCGACATAAGGAGCCCCTTATACCTTTCTTTGCTTCCGCAAAGAGGATGGCTGCCAATGCATGTAAGATAATAAATCCAGCATAGTTTCCCATCATCTAGAAACGCAGAAGATGTTTCATATGTTTCTGCCTTTTTCTATTGTTTATCTATTAAGTATATTCAATTTTAAACAGGAAGCTGTTCTTATGTCTCATCCCCATGGTGTCCCTTCAAAGACAATTGGGCTAAGGAGTTCTGCCACCGGAAGGTCTTGTCTTCTGCTTCTAAATTGTTTATATTCCAGAATTTCTGTTGGTTAATCTCTGATCTCATATATTTCCAATTTATGTACGCAGGATTGCTCAAGTAATTCTTGAGCAGAATTATAATGAACAGCAGCAAGTGCTGGCAAAGATAATCAGAGTCTATGCTCCATACTGGTTTTCGATTGCTCGGTGTCCCTCGCTTACACTCCGGCTTCTAGATCTGACTGGAAAGAAGCAAACGAGAAAAGTTAGCTTTCCATTTCGAAACAAGAAGAATAATGAAGTAGTCCTAGAGGAGGTAACTGAAGAGGAAATATATGAAGGCCATACAATTGCTTCTGCTTTGAATTTTAAGCTGCTGGGGCTCTCAGTGTCAATATCTCAGTTTGGCAGTCAGCAGCATGGACCTACTAAAGATCTTTCTCCCCTTGGAGACATGGTCAATTCTGCTATCTTTTTTGCTTATGAGGCTGCTGTTTTCTCTTCAAACTAGTATACTTGACAGGCATCTTTTGTTGTGGATTTTGTTTAATAGGATGGATCTTTGGATGTGGATGCTTATACCACTGAAGGAAAATGTATGCGGCTCTTTTTGTCGACAAAACCATGCGCTTTCCCGTCAGTTCCCACAAAGGTAAGAAATGCTTTATTTACTTGGATCATTCTAATAATTTACTAACCTGGTAACCTTTTGCAGGTCATATCTGTTAGACCGTTCATAACTTTCACAAACAGGATTGGTGAAGACGTATATATTAAGATGAACAGCAAAGATGAACCAAAAGTACTCCGTGTTTATGATTCGAGAGTCTCCTTTGTTTCTCAACCAGGTGGCAGGGATGAACTCCAGGTTAGATGCATAGAGTTGGAGACCCTTAACAATTCATTTACTAATTTTATTTGTTTCAATCAATTAGTAGGTTGTTCTTTTTAATCTTTGGTGTATTATGGAAGCATGTCTCATATATTTGTTCAATAAGACCAATGAAACTTGTTTAGATGTGGAGACAGACTGAAAGTTTGACCCGAGGTCTGAACATCTACTTAAGAACACTTCATGGCGTATCTTAAGATATACTGCAGTGAAAATAGAGTTGACTGATATAGTCTGTCATGCACTGAATTGGTATATAATTTGGCGTGTGTATGTTTTTCTTCTGGATGCCATAGACTGTTGTGCACACTGAGTTCTAGGATCTTTCCGCTTTTCTTGTATTAAAGCTGTATTATCTTCCTAAAGCATGCATTATTCTTCAGGTTCGGTTGAAAGATACAGACTGGTCTTTTCCAGTTCAAATTGTTCGAGAGGACACGATTGTTCTTGTCTTAAGGAGTCAGAAAGGTAAAAGAAGATTTGTGAAGACAGAGATACGGGGATTTGAAGAAGGATCACGTTTTGTAGTCGTATTTCGACTAGGACCAAGTGATGGTCCTATCAGGTAGCTTCTTCACGAGAAACATGAAATGCAGATGCTAGTAAAACTGCCTCTAATTTCTTCATATGTTTTTAACTGTCAAAATCAGGGTTGAGAATAGAACAACTGCCAAAAGGATCAGTGTCCGCCAATCTGGGTTTGGTGAAGATTCATGGATTTTGTTCGGACCCCTTTCCTCAGAAAATTTTTGTTGGGAAGATCCCTATGGCCAGAAATTTTTGGATGCTAAGGTCGAAGCTGGTTACCGTTCTGGGATTTTTAAGTTAGACATGGAAAAAGGTGTAGCAGATTTGGAATTGTTCAGGGAACTAGAAATAAGATTCCATGTTATAGAAAAAGGTGACATCAAGATTGCTAGGTTCACGGATGATGACAGAGCCTCCCAAAGTCGTGACGAAATCATACCTCTGACATCTGTTGGGGATCATGGAAATTCTCATTCCCATACAGCAACAGACCACAAGAGCGCAACTATGGAGTTTATACTTGAAATGGGCTTAGTGGGAATCTCTCTGGTAGACCACAGGCCGAAAGAGCTTTCATATTTGTACCTAGAAAGAGTG